ACATGTATATCAGTTGGGGCACATTTATACCTGCTGCCTCTCTGAATAGCGATCCGCAATCGATCACTTTTTAGAGGGCAGTTGGAAGGTGATATGTCACCTGCTTACCGCTCGCTGTAACATTGAAAGGGCCACGCCATACCACCGTTCTGCAAGCAGGGGCGGACTGACCATTCGAGCACTCGGGCACTGTCTGAGGGCCCAGGGTCAGTAGGGGGCCCCATGAAATGCTCCTGGTACCTTTTTTATAGGCTTTTTTGAGTTTGGCCAAGGACACAGGGGCCCCATGATCCCCTATTGCCGGGGGCCCCATGAGTTGTCAGTCTGCCCCGTCTCCAAGTGTGTTTGTCGGGCAGTTATGACGCGGTCACATCCACTTGCATTCTGCGGCGGTACTGTATGACATGTAGCATAATTTTATTCTGCAGACGCAAAGTGAATCATCAGGGCGGTGGCATTTGTGCAATCCCTTCGGCTGCTGTTGTGGTTTAAGGGGGGCTTTAAACCCGTGGCCTTTTTTATACCGCCCTGAATGAGTGAGCCCTAGAAGTCAATGTTAATCATGACTGGATGACATTCAGTTTTCTCTGTGTTTCATATATTATAAACAATTGGCAAATTTTTTTCATCCTTTATAACAACTCAGTGCTGCTGATCGCCTTCAGCCTCTTGGCAGTCACTTCCAGACTACAGACACTCCAGCAATGGCTGCATGGCAATTCTCAGGGTGGGCACTGATGGTGACAACAGTGGACCATGTCTGTGTAATGTGTACTGAAATGGCCATTGGGCCACCTGGGCAGGGGTGGACTGACCATTGGGGAACTCGGGCACTGTCCGAGGACCCAGGGTCAGTAGGGGGCCCCATGAGATGTCACTGGTACCTTTCATAGGCTTTTTTGGGTGTGATTTGAGTATGGTTGAGGACACAGGGGCCCCATGATCCCCTATTGCCCGGGGGCCCCATGAGTTGTCAGTCCACCCCTGCACCTGGGATTAGGTAATGAAAGCTGAAGATTTTAAAAGTTAAAAAGAAATGGCCCTGAAATGATGTGATTGGTGATCAGTGATTGGGCTTACAGATCAATGGACGGTTCATCAAGGTAAAGTCTGGGGTCTGATGAGGTGCTGCGGACTGTGAGTGACCGCCAGCACCGAGGGGTGTGCAAGTCCTGGGGGCTCATCATTGGTTGATGTGATGACATGCAAAGGAGGAGTGGCCAACCAATGCTGCTATATTTAAAGACCTGCACATGTCACTTGGCAGTTCTATTGAGACTCCATGAAGACAATGTTTAGTTCATTGGATCTGTCCCCATAAATGGTCCGAATCATGAGACCCCAGAGATGGCGTGAGCCAGGGGCGGACTGACCATTTGGAAACTCGGGCACTGCCCGAGGGCCCAGGGTCAGTATGGGGCCCCATGAGATGCCCCTGGTACCTTTTTCATAGGCCCCATGATCCCCGATTGCCCGGGGGCCCCATGAGTTGTCAGTCCGCCCCTGGCGTGAGCCTCTTCTCCTCTCCGGGCGCGGTGACCCGTATACATCTGTGTACATCCCATGTCTGTTCTCTCTTCATGTTTGAAGGTCGGCAATCTATTTCCAGCTTTCTCCTTCAGGGGATCATGTGACCGTGTACTGACCCGCCGATCTCCCGCTTACATCACATACAGAATAATTACAGGCAGCATAAATTTCCATACAGAAGGAAATAAAATATTTATATTGAAAATGACACGTGTTCTCCAGATGTATGGAGTCCGATCACTTCACCTCCGGAGGAAATGCCGGGAAATACATCTACACTGCGCCAAAGTATCATCTACAGCGAGAAATATTCCAGAGAAGAGCCTGTGAGGGCAAAATTCACCTAAATATGCTATATATATCAGGAGTGACATCACCGATCCCCAGATATAAGTTATATTACACGGGAGTGACATCACCGCTCTCCAGATATAAGATATATTATACGGGAGTGACATCACCGCTCTCCAGATATAAGATATATTATACGGGAGTGACATCACCGCTCTCCAGATATAAGATATATCATACGGGAGTGACATCACCGCTCTCCAGATATAAGATATATTATACAGGAGTGACATCACCGCTCTCCAGATATAAGATATATTATACGGGAGTGACATCACCGCTCTCCAGATATAAGATATATCATACGGGAGTGACATCACCGCTCTCCAGATATGATATATTACACGGGAGTGACATCACCGCTCTACAGGTATGAGATATATTATACGGGAGTGACATCACCGCTCTCCAGATATAAGATATATTATACAGGAGTGACATCACCGCTCTCCAGGTATAAGTTATATTATACGGGAGTGACATCACCGCTCTCCAGATATAAGATATATTATACGGGAGTGACATCACCGCTCTCCAGATATAAGATATATCATACGGGAGTGACATCACCGCTCTCCAGATATAAGATATACGGGAGTGACATCACCGCTCTCCAGATATAAGATATATCATACGGGAGTGACATCACCGCTCTCCAGATATAGGATATATCATACGGGAGTGACATCACCGCTCTCCAGATATAAGATATAACATACGGGAGTGACATCACCGCTCTCCAGATATAAGATATATCATACGGGAGTGACATCACCGCTCTCCAGATATAGGATATATCATACGGGAGTGACATCACCGCTCTCCAGATATAAGATATAACATACGGGAGTGACATCACCGCTCTCCAGATATAAGATATATTATACGGGAGTGACATCACTGCTCTCCAGATATAAGTTATATTATACAGGAGTGACATCACCGCTCTCCAGATATAAGTTATATTATACAGGAGTGACATCACCGCTCTCCAGATATAAGATATATTATACGGGAGTGACATCACCGCTCTCCAGATATAAGTTATATTACACGGGAGTGACATCACCGCTCTCCAGATATGTTATATAATACGGGAGTGACATCACCGCTCTCCAGATATAAGATATATTACACAAGAGTGACATCACCGCTCTCCAGATATAAGATATATTATACGGGAGTGACATCACCGCTCTCCAGATATAAGTTATATTACACGGGAGTGACATCACCGCTCTCCAGATATAAGATATATTATACGGGAGTGACATCACCGCTCTCCAGATATAAGATATATTATACAGGAGTGACATCACCGCTCTCCAGATATAAGATATATTATACGGGAGTGACATCACCGCTCTCCAGATATAAGATATATTATACGGGAGTGACATCACCGCTCTCCAGATATAAGTTATATTACACGGGAGTGACATCACCGCTCTCCAGATATAAGATATATTACACGGGAGTGACATCACCGCTCTCCAGATATAAGATATATTATACAGGAATGACATCACCGCTCTCCAGATATAAGATATATTATACAGGAGTGACATCACCGCTCTCCAGATATAAGATATATTATACAGGAGTGACATCACCGCTCTCCATATATAAGATATATTTATACAGGAGTGACATCACTGCTCTCCAGTCATATTACACACTCGAAGGACATGTTGCTCCCTGGCAGTCAGCGGTGATAGGGTGACACTAGGATGGGGTCACATTTGATTCCCAATCAGTGTAAATGAGGAAATCTATATATGGATCGGCTCATTATACATAATAGGGAGGCCGGTGTCGGGATCATTTCTTCCGGCAGACAAATAGCTATGATATCAGTACATGTCACAATGATGGATTCCTTGGTCGCTCTTGGATGGAGACATCAGAATATTCGTCTGTCAGCAGATGGAGATCTCACAGATGCATTTCATGGGGCAAAGAGTGACCAATCAGAAAACATCTTGTTTTCTGTTCTAATAAACCGAAATAATAAACTGGTCAGATAATGCGACATGAGGGACGGCGAGAAGACTTTCTGTTCCTGGGGTCTCCATGCCTCGCCAGTCTGCTTTAATATGTCATATCCGCCACTAGAGGCAGCAGAGTACAGGCACGGTGCGCCTCTTGCTGACTGTCCCATATAGCCATTATGAAGCCAAGGAAGAGTCTCACTTCTTCTGCTGCATTACCATTAATGGAAGATAAGATCCATTTGTAAAGGTCCTGGCAGGTGGGCAGAGCCTCTGATAACTACCGACATTGGGGTAAAAGTCCAGAACGTTCATTAAAGTGGGACAGCACTACATCTGCGCACCACAAATCAAAGATGCATTTTCATTCATTGTTATTATTCAAAGCAAACTCCCCCATCCATCCATATCTCCATGCTATATTTTGCTGAGAAATCATTTTGAAAAACACCCCCTGGCATTCCTGGCAGTGGCCATCTTGAGTAAGGGCAGGTGATTTATGTAGCATTGTATTATTATTATTTATTATTATTATTATTATACAGGATTTATATAGCGGCAACAGTTTGCACAGCGCTTTACAAAATGAAGGTAGACATTACAGTTACAATACAATTTGGTACAAGAAGAAACAGAGGGGCCTGATCCTGGGAGCTTACAATCTAGGAGGAAGGGTTGAGTGATACAAAAGGTAATAGTTGTGGGGGGGATGAGCTGATGGAGGAAATAAATGGCGGTTTACTAGGTAGAAGCAGGATAGACTTCTTGAAAGAGAAAGGTTTTCATAGATCATCTAAAGGTGGATAGATTAGGAGACAGCCGGAGAGGTTGGGGTAGAGAGTTCCATAGGATGGGAGAAGCTCGGGAGAAGTCCTGGAGGTTACACGGGAGCTAGAGAGCAGAAGGTCTTGGGAGGATCAAAGAGAGTGGTTTGGTTGATATTTTGAGACCAGGTTGGTGATGTAGTTGGGGCAGAGTTGTGGATGGCTTTGTAAGTTGTTGTTAGTTTTTTTAATTTTATTCATTGAGCCAGTGGAGGGATTGGCAGAGAGGGGATGGTGGACACTGAATGGAGGTCAGTGGAGGGATTGGCAGAGAGGGGTGGAGGACACTGAGTGGACGCCAGTGGAGGGATTGGCAGAGAGGGGTGGAGGACACTGAATGGAGGTCAGTGGAGGAATTGGCAGAGAGGGGTGGAGGACACTGAATGGAGGTCAGTGCAGGGATTGGCAGAGAGGGGGTGGAGGACACTGAGTGGAAGCCAGTGGAGGGATTGGCAGAGAGGGTGGAGGACACTGAATGGAGGTCAGTGGAGGGATTGGCAGAGAGGGATGGAGGACACTAAGTGGAGGCCAGTGGAGGGATTGGCAGAGAGGGGTGGAGGACACTGAATGGAAGCCAGTGGAGGGATTGGCAGAGAGGGGTGGAGGACACTGAATGGAGGTCATTGGAGGAATTGGCAGAGAGGGGTGGAGGACACTGATGGAGGTCAGTGGAGGAATTGGCAGAGAGGGGTGGAGGACACTGAATGGAGGTCAGTGGAGGAATTGGCAGAGAGGGGTGGAGGACACTGAATGGAGGTCAGTGCAGGGATTGGCAGAGAGGGGTGGAGGACACTGAGTGGAAGCCAGTGGAGGGATTGGCAGAGAGGGGTGGAGGACACTGAATGGAGGTCAGTGGAGGGATTGGCAGAGAGGGGGATGGAGGACACTAAGTGGAGGCCAGTGGAGGGATTGGCAGAGAGGGGTGGAGGACACTGAATGGAAGCCAGTGGAGGGACTGGCAGAGAGGGGTGGAGGACACTGAATGGAAGCCAGTGGAGAGATTGGCAGAGAGGGGTGGAGGACACTGAGTGGAAGCCAGTGGAGGGATTGGCAGAGAGGGGTGGAGGACACTGAGTGGAAGCCAGTGGAGGGATTGGCAGAGAGGGGTGGAGGACACTGAGTGGAGGCCAGTGGAGGGATTGGCAGAGAGGGGTGGAGGCCAGTGGAGAGATTGGCAGAGAGGGGTGGAGGCCAGTGGAGAGATTGGCAGAGAGGGGTGGAGGACACTGAGTGGAAGTCAGTGGAGAGATTGGCAGAGAGGGATGGAGGACACTGAATGGTTAGTGAGGTGGATGAGCCTGTCAGCAGTTTTCATGATGGACTGTAGGGGGGATAGCCTATGTAAAGGTAAGCCAATGAGGAGGGAGTTGCAGGAATCCATCTGCCCTTTTATCATTAAAACCTATCCTTGGGCTCATGTCAGTGACTAGGCCTAGGCTGAGATATGCCTAGGCTAAGATGATGTCATCAGTCTGCTGCAGGCAGGAGAAAGTATTTCCTCAGTCCCCCCCCCCCCCCTCCCGTGATAAGGCTGTACAATGAAACTTTGCATAGTGGAGAGTCTACAGCAAGGGCTGATTTGTGACATCTGTGAACTCAGCCTAGAATTACACAGGCATCAGGATCATAGTCCGGGAAGTACATGGTGACCGTGGTTGATGCCTGAACAAAGATGGCACCATGCTTCTGAAGGGAAAATCAGATGAAGACATTGTCGGGGGAGTACTGTGATCACTGAGAGAGGTAATAGATATCGGATGTTTTACAATGAAACGCGGCACTAAAATTGGAAGTTTATATCTGATGACAGGTCCACTTTGATGTCCCGGTTTTCTGCTGTCACATTAGCGGGGTACAATAGTTCTGGGGGCAAGGTACATGCGACTCATCTATGTCTGCGTGCTTTGTTGCAGGGAGCACTGGCTACGCATACAGGCTCTGCACCGACAATGGGACTTGGCAGTGGGATGAGAACAGATCCGAGGTTTGGCGCGATGTCACGGAATGTTCTGCAAAAATTAACTCCATACCGGTGAGTCTGACATGTTTCTCTTTTGCCTTAATCCTGGGATTACTCCAAGCTGTAGACGTGTTATATGTCCAAACCCCAGCACAGCACAGACCACGCCACGGACACCGCAGGCGACATACCAGACACCAGGCTACAAAATCATTGTCAGTATCAATATAAGCGGAATGAGCAGATCAGTTCATCAGGACCATCAATCATTGGCAGGGAAGGGACCCCCACGCTGCAGAATAGAGCGTAGGCTGGGCCCCTGGATGTGGGCTCCAATGGGAATGTGGAGGAATATTGGGCAGGATTTCCCACCCACTGTAATGTTATTGGTCTAATGACAAAATAAAACATTTATTATTACTATAATAAATGCTGAAGCTGAACTCCGGGCAGATATAAAAAATACATCTCTGTAATCATTAACACATCATAATATATCCGGTCCGAGCATGTAGGCCCTTTACAGAATCATCTAGAGGGGGTGACTGGGGACAAAGAGAAGGCAAAGGTATGAAATCCCTTCTTCAGCTCTGTGCATACAATGGAGCATGGGGGGGCTCTTGTCCATAATGGGGGGTGGTACTGACACAGCTCCAGATGATCCACATTGGCTCACAACTGATATGATCCAGAAATATTTAGACAGAATAAAGGTGAATAAAGCCCCTGGACCGGATGGCATTCACCCACGGGGCCTTAAAGAATTGAGCTCTGTCATTTCAAAGCCATTGTTTCTCATTTTTAGGGACTCTTTAATGACTGGCATAGTACCACTGGATTAGTGTAAGGCCAATGTGGGGCCGATATTTAAAAAGGGGTCAAAATCTTTACCAAGTTATTATACACCTGTTAGTGTAACTTCTATAGTTGGGAAGATACTGGAGAGTTTAATAAAAGACCACATAGATGAGTTCTTGCTGGAAAAAGATATTTTAAGTAACAAACAGCATGGATTCATAACAGACAGAAGTTGTCAAACAAATCTGATTTCTTTTTATGAGGAGGTGAGCAAAACCTTGGACAGAGGGGTGGTGGTGGATGTGGTATACTTGGACAGAGGGGGTGGCGGTGGACGTGGTATACTTGGACAGAGGGGTGGCTGTGGACGTGGTATACTTGGACAGAGGGGTGGCTGTGGACATGGTATACTTGGACAGAGGGGTGGATGTGGACGTGGTATACTTGGACAGAGGGGTGGCTGTGGACGTGGTATACTTGGACAGAGGGGTGGATGTGGACGTGGTAGACTTGGACAGAGGGGTGGCTGTGGATGTGGTATACATGGACAGAGGGGTGGCGGTGGACGTGGTATACTTGGACAGAGGGGTGGCGGTGGACGTGGTATACTTGGACAGAGGGGTGGCGGTGGAGGTGGTATACTTGGACAGAGAGGTGGCGGTGGACATGGTATACTTTGGACAGAGGGGTGGCGGTGGACGTAATATACTTTGACAGAGGGGTGGATGTGGACGTGGTATACTTGGACAGAGGGGTGGCGGTGGACGTGGTATACTTGGACAGAGGGGTGGTGGTGGATGTGGTAAACTTGGACAGAGGGGTGGCTGTGGACGTGCTATACTTGGACAGAAGGGTGGCGGTGGACGTGGTACACTTGGACAGAGGGGTGGCTGTGGATGTGGTATACATGGACAGAGGGGTGGCGGTGGGACGTGGTATACTTGGACAGAGGGGTGGCTGTGGACGTGGTATACTTGGACAGAGGGGTGGCGGTGGACGTGGTATACTTGGACAGAGTGGTGGCGGTGGACATGGTATACTTGGACAGAGGGGTGGCGGTGGATGTGGTATACTTGGACAGAGGGGTGGATGTGGACGTGGTATACTTGGACAGAGGGGTGGCGGTGGACGTGGTATACTTGGACAGAGGGGTGGCGGTGGATGTGGTATACTTGGACAGAGGGGTGGCTGTGGACGTGCTATACTTGGACAGAAGGGGTGGCGGTGGACGTGGTATACTTGGACAGAGGGGTGGGTGGCGGTGGATGTGGTATACTTGGACAGAGGGGTGGCTGTGGACGTGGTATACTTGGACAGAGGGGTGGCGTGTGGACGTGGTATACTTGGACAGAGGGGTGGCGGTGGACATGGTATACTTGGACAGAGGGGGTGGCGGTGGACGTGGTATACTTGGACAGAGGGGTGGGTGGACGTGGTATACTTGGACAGAGGGGTGGCAGTGGATGTGGTATACTTGGACAGAGGGGTGGCGGTGGATGTGGTATACTTGGACAGAGGGGTGGCTGTGGATGTGGTATACTTGGACAGAGGGGTGGCGGTGGACGTGGTATACTTGGACAGAGGGGTGGCTGGTGGACGTGGTATACTTGGACAGAGGGGTGGCGGTGGACGTGGTATACTTGGACAGAGGGGTGGCGGTGGACATGGTATACTTGGACAGAGGGGTGGCGGTGGATGTGGTATACTTGGACAGAGGGGTGGATGTGGACGTGGTATACTTGGACAGAGGGGTGGCGGTGGACGTGGTATACTTGGACAGAGGGGTGGGCGGTGGATGTGGTATACTTGGACAGAGGGGTGGCTGTGGACGTGCTATACTTGGACAGAAGGTTGGCAGTGGACGTGGTATACTTGGACAGAGGGGTGGCGGTGGATGTGGTATACTTGGACAGAGGAGTGGCTGTGGACGTGGTATACTTGGACAGAGGGGTGGCGGTGGGACGTGGTATACTTGGACAGAGGGGTGGTGGTGGACATGGTATACTTGGACAGAGGGGTGGCGGTGGACGTGGTATACTTGGACAGAGGGGTGGCGGTGGACGTGGTATACTTGGACAGAGGGGTGGCAGTGGATGTGGTATACACTTGGACAGAGGGGTGGCGGTGGACGTGGTATACTTGGACAAAGGGGTGGCTGTGGACGTGGTATACTTGGACAGAGGGGTGGCGGTGGACGTGGTATACTTGGACAGAGTGGTGGCGGTGGACGTGGTATACTTGGACAGAGGGGTGGCGGTGGATGTGGTATACTTGGACAGAGGGGTGGATGTGGACGTGGTATACTTGGACAGAGGGGTGGCGGTGGACGTGGTATACTTGGACAGAGGGGTGGCGGTGGATGTGGTATACTTGGACAGAGGGGTGGCTGTGGACGTGCTATACTTGGACAGAGGGGTGGCGGTGGACGTGGTATACTTGGACAGAGGGGTGGCGGTGGATGTGGTATACTTGGACAGAGGGGTGGCTGTGGACGTGGTATACTTGGACAGAGGGGTGGCGGTGGACGTGGTATACTTGGACAGAGGGGTGGCGGTGGACGTGGTATACTTGGACAGAGGGGTGGCGGCGGTGGACGTGGTATACTTGGACAGAGGGGTGGCGGTGGACGTGGTATACTTGGACAGAGGGGGTGGCAGTGGATGTGGTATACTTGGACAGAGGGGTGGCGGTGGATGTGGTATACTTGGACAGAGGGGTGGCGGTGGATGTGGTATACTTGGACAGAGGGGTGGCGGTGGACGTGGTATACTTGGACAGAGGGGTGGCTGTGGACGTGGTATACTTGGACAGAGGGGTGGCGGTGGACGTGGTATACTTGGACAGAGGGGTGGCGGTGGACGTGGTATACTTGGACAGAGGGGGTGGCGGTGGATGTGGTATACTTGGACAGAGGGGTGGATGTGGACGTGGTATACTTGGACAGAGGGGTGGCGGTGGACGTGGTATACTTGGACAGAGGGGTGGCGGTGGATGTGGTATACTTGGACAGAGGGGTGGCTGTGGACGTGGTATACTTGGACAGAAGGTTGGCGGTGGACGTGGTATACTTGGACAGAGGGGTGGCGGTGGATGTGGTATACTTGGACAGAGGAGTGGCTGTGGACGTGGTATACTTGGACAGAGGGGTGGCGGTGGACGTGGTATACTTGGACAGAGGGGTGGTGGTGGACATGGTATACTTGGACAGAGGGGTGGCGGTGGACGTGGTATACTTGGACAGAGGGGTGGATGTGGACGTGGTATACTTGGACAGAGGGGTGGCAGTGGATGTGGTATACTTGGACAGAGGGGTGGCGGTGGATGTGGTATACTTGGACAGAGGGGTGGCTGGTGGACGTGGTATACTTGGACAGGAGGGTGGCGGTGGGACGTGGTATACTTGGACAGAGGGGTGGCTGTGGGATGTGGTATACATGGACAGAGGGGTGGCGGTGGACGTGGTATACTTGGACAGAGTGGGTGGCGGTGGACGTGGTATACTTGGACAGAGGGGGGCGGTGGAGGTGGTATACTTGGACAGAGGGGTGGCGGTGGACGTGGTATACTTGGACAGAGGGGTGGCGGTGGACGTGGTATACTTGGACAGAGGGGTGGATGTGGACGTGGTATACTTGGACAGAGGGGGTGGCGGTGGACGTGGTATACTTGGACAGAGGGGTGGCGGTGGACGTGGTATACTTGGACAGAGGGGTGGCTGTGGACGTGGTATACTTGGACAGAGGGGTGGCGGTGGACGTGGTATACTTGGACAGAGGGGTGGCGGTGGACGTGGTATACTTGGACAGAAGGGTGGCGGTGGACGTGGTATACTTGGACAGAGGGGTGGCGGTGGACGTGGTATACTTGGACAGAGGGGTGGCGGTGGACGTGATACTTGGACAGAGGGGTGGCGGTGGACGTGGTATACTTGGACAGAGGGGTGGCTGTGGACGTGGTATACTTGGACAGAAGGGTGGCGGTGGACGTGGTATACTTGGACAGAGGGGTGGCGGTGGACGTGGTATACTTGGACAGAGGGGTGGCGGTGGACGTGGTATACTTGGACAGAGGGGTGGCGGTGGATGTGGTATACTTGGACAGAGGGGTGGCTGTGGACGTGGTATACTTGGACAGAAGGGTGGCGGTGGACGTGGTATACTTGGACAGAGGGGTGGATGTGGACATCTCTGGATTGAATCTGAAATTAGCAGCAACAGCTGTTTTTGTTACTTTATCTTTGATTAGACTATTCCTTTGCATCTTATTATATGTGTCTGGAGGGCTACAAGGCCTTTGCGCTCGGTGATGCCATTCAAAGTTAAAAGCACTGCCGCATGTTGCAGTAATGCCCACAACACAACAGAGTATTGGCCCCACATGTCATTATTTAGGGCCCATTCAGTCTATGGCACTGGGGCAATACACGCACAGCGTTCAGTTTACCGCAGCGCACAGTAATGTGCATTCTACGCATTGGTGCAATTCACTACCATTCTGAATGGCACCCCAATGCACCCTTGCGACAGAAGTAGGTTGCATTGCAAAAAAAATGACGCATGACCCTTTTAGGAAGTGTGGAATGTCATCGGTAATCTTTTGCGTGGAATTCCGATCCTCCTCGCCATATATGTGATCTGCTAGTTGTCTTAGCAGAGTTTACATTACATCAGTTAAATCCCAGGTACAGAATGTTCCCACATCTCCGCAAATATGGAAACATCCATTACGACCTGCAGGATCTCAGCCGGCTGTTTATGAATGTTTAAATGAAGGAATCTGTCTGTATAGAGATTGGGTTATGTGGCGGCAGAAATCAATTGCGTTTTGCTCGTCGGCTGCAATGAGAACCTGCTACCAAACTAAAAGCACTTTGACCTGCAGCAGTTCATTCTTTACATAAATGCGTTTCTGCTTCCAACAGAGCATGCAAATCAATTTTATGATACAATGGTAATTGCATTCGGGGATCTCAGAGATTAAAATATGAAAACTGCTGATTTTCCACTGCAGATTACTCAGCAACATATACATGAAAATAACTGACCTCTAGTTTCATTGGACAATCTCATTCTGACTGTGGGTAATGAATGTGTAAGGTGCTCACTCCCAGCTAGGGGGCGATAGATGCTACATCAACGACGTAGAAGTTCCTCTAATGCAAATGCAAATCTCCATCTTCTGATACAAGTTGCATGTAAAAATCATTGTAAATGTAATAAGAAATGTGGATGTGTTTTAATTGGTCGGTTGTTTCTCTGATCAGTACAAGGAAACTGCGCTGATGCTGTTACTGCGAATATGTTACACGGTTGGCTATTCCATTTCCCTGGGGACCCTGGTGGTGGCGCTCTGCATCCTCCTTGCCTTCAGGTCAGTATATCCTACAGCCAGAGGTAGAACTTTACATCATCTTCTTCTCACCTCCCAGGCGTCACTGTAAATGTGGCCCCATAGTGGAGGCCGATATTATTCTGAAATGAGAGATCAACCCTGCAGAATACTAATTGCTGTGTGAACTGTGAGCACATTAATTTACTCTAATTATCTGCCAGATGCTATTTCCACCTGGATAAATCACCCGGAATCCACCTTGTACCAGCGAGCATGGGGTCTGATGCAGACACAGTCAGTCTCCCTTGTACAATACTTCAAGCGGAATTGTGGCTGAGCTATGGATAGTCAAAGATTTACATATTCTGAATAAGCAGTAAAAATGAAACTTTAAAACAAGCTCTTATTGACTTCTGTAGCTGTAGGCACTGTGGAGCAAATCATTCTCAAAGTCACAAATCTTAATAAGTGGTAAAAAGAAAACTTTAAAACAAGCCCTTATGGACGTTTGTAGCTGTAGGCTCTGTGGAGCAAATCATCCTCAAAATTACAAATCTTAATAAGCAGTAAAAAGAAAACTTTTAGGCACTTTGGAGCAACTCATTCTCAAAATCACAAATCTTAATAAGTTGTAAAAAAGAAAATAAAAAAAAGCCTTTGTAGCTGTAGGCACTGTAGAGAAAATCATCCTCAAAGTCACAAATATTAATAAGCAGTAAAAAAAAACAAGTTCACAACAGGGGCGGACTGACAACTCATGGGACCCCCAGGCAATTGGCGATCATGGGGGCCCTGTGTCCTTGCCCACACTCAAAACACACCCAAAAAAGCCTATAAAAGGTACCAGGGGCATTTTATGGGGCCCCCTACTGACCCCGAGCCCTCGAGCATTGCCCAAGTGGTCGAATGGTCAGTCCGCCCCTGGTTCACAATGACCTCTGTAACTGTAGGCACTTTGGAGCAACTCCTCAAAAATCACAAATCTTAACAAGTGTTAAAAAGAAAACTTTAAAACAAGCCCCTGATTGATTTTTGTAACTGTAGGCACTGTGAAGAAAATCATTCCTAAAATTACAAATCTTAATGATCAGTAAAAAGAAAACGTTAAAACACGACCTTATTGACCTCTGTAGCTGTAGGCACTGTGGAGCAAATCATTCTCAAAATCAAAAATATTAAATATTCAGTAAAAAGAAAACTTTAAAAGAAGCCATGGACCTGGGAGTCATTGCCAGGAGGTAGAATGGTGCCACTGCCGGAAGGGGAATGGAGTCACTGCTGGCAGGGAGAATGGAGTCACTGCTGGGAGGGTGAATGGAATCACTGCTGGGAGGGTGAATGGAGTCACTGCTGGGAGGGTGAATGGAGTCACTGCTGGGAGGGGAATGGAGTCACTACTGGGGGGGGGGGGGGTGGAGTCAATGCTGGGAGGGAGAATGGAGTCAGTGCTGGGAGGGAGAATGGAGTCACTGCTGGGGGGGGGGGGGGAATGGAGTCACTGCTGGGAGGGGGTATGGAGTCACTGCTGGGAGGGTGAATGGAATCACTGCTGGGAGGGTGAATGGAGTCACTGCTGGGAGGGTGAATGGAGTCACTGCTGGGAGGGGAATGGAGTCACTACTGGGGGGGGGGGGGGGAGTGGAGTCAATGCTGGGAGGGAGAATGGAGTCAATGCTGGGAGGGAGAATGGAGTCACTGCTGGGGGGGGGGAATGGAGTCACTGCTGGGAGGGGGTATGGAGTCACTGCTGGGAGGGAGAATGGAGTCACTGCTGAGGGGGGAATGGAGTCACTTCTGGGAGGGGAATGGAGTCACTGCTGGGGGGGGGATGGAGTCACTGCTGGGAGGGGAATGGAGTCACTGCTGGGGGGGGGGATGGAGTCACTGCTGGGGGGGGGGGGGGGGGGAATGGAGTCACTGCTGGGAGGGGGAATGAAGTCACTGCTGGAAGGGAGAATGGAGTCACTGCTGGGAGGGGGAATGGAGTCACTGCTGGGAGGGGGAATGGAGTCACTGCTGGGGGGGGGGGGAGTATGGGGCGCTAAGCTGCTAAGTTACTGATAGGAGGGGGAGCTGAGATGCTGCGTCACTGCTGGGAGGGGGAATGGAGTCACTGCTGGGGGGGGGGGGGGGGGGGGGAGTATGGGGCGCTAAGCTGCTAAGTTACTAATAGGAGGGGGAGCTGAGATGCTGCGTCACTGCTGGGAGGGGGAGCAGGGAGAATCTTCAGCTGATCTGACATTTGAACAAGCAAGATGTGAATGTTTTCCTACTGAGCGCAGTGATACTTCACAAGTCTGTACGGAGAATAAACCGGAACAAGCAGATAATGAATGTGACCTCCTGTCCATCTTTGCACCTCCAGACCTCCACTATGAACGTTGTCATAAAAGCGATCTATCAGTGCGTCTCTCTGCCGATCGCCGACATTCATAGGATGGGACGATCTTTTTATCATGAACACATTTCTGCTCTTTTCCAGGAAGCTTCACTGCATGAGAAATTACATCCACATCAACCTCTTCGCCTCGTTCATTATGCGAGCGATGGCGGTTCTGGTAAAAGACATCGTGGAGAACACCAGCCATACGGTGCCGAGTCCCACCGACGAGGACGGCTGGAGGTCCAGATTAAATGTGAGTGTGACTCCTGCCTGGTGTGCGGTGCGATCTCTGTGCCTGCTAAAGATATTCCACGTTAAAGGGGGCTTCCACTTTATCCCGACTGCATAATGTGAAATAATAAGTAGAATCAACTACCTTGGGCGAAATCTCCCCATTGTGGGAGGGGCAGAGACACGGATTACTGCAGGAAATCTCACCATTGTGGGAGGGGCAGAGACACAAACTACTGCAGGAAATCTCACCATTGTGGGAGGGGCAGAGACACAAACTACTGCGGGAAATCTCACCATTGTGGGAGGGGCAGAGACACAAACTACTGCAGGAAATCTCACCATTTTGGGAGGGGCAGAGACACAAACTACTGCAGGAAATCTTCCCATTGTGGGAGGGGCAGAGACACAAACTACTGCGGGAAATCTCACCATTGTGGGAGGGGCAGAGACACAAACTACTGCGGGAAATCTCACCATTGTGGGAGGGGCAGAGACACAAACTACTGGGGGAAATCTCATTATTGTGGGAGGAGCAGAGACACAAACTATTGCAGGAAATCTCCCCATTGTGGGAGGGGCAGAGACACAAACTACTGCAGGAAATCTCCCCATTGTGGGAGGGGCAGAGACACAAACTACTGAAGGAAATCTCACCATTGTGGGAGGGGCAGAGACACCAACTACTGCAGGAAATCTCACCATTGTGGGAGGGGCAGAGACACAAACTACTGGGGGAAATCTCACCATTGTGGGAGGGACAGAGACACAAACTACTGGGGGAAATCTCACCATTGTGGGAGGGGCAGAGACACAAACTACTGGCAGACATCTCATCATTGTGGGAGGGGCAGAGACACAAACTACTGGCAGACATCTCATCATTGTGGGAGGGGCAGAGACACAAACTACTGGGGGAAATTCACCATTGTGGGAGGGGCAGAGACACAAACTACTGGGGGAAATCTCACCATTGTGGGAGGGGCAGAGACACAAACTACTGCAAGAAATCTCCCCATTGTGGAAGGGGCAGAGACACCAACTACTGCAGGAAATCTCCCCATTGTGGGAGGGGCAGAGACACAAGCTACTGCAGGAAATTCATAATTGTGGGAGGGGCAGAGACACAAACTACTGCAGGAAATCTCACCATCGTGGGAGGGGCAGGGACACAAACTACTGGGGTGTGTCTCTATTTCAATTCAGCTCAAAGAATAGACAGAAATAATAATAAAATATAACATGATGACTTTTAGTCAACTGGAATGTGGGATTTTCTTGTCAGCAACAGGAATGTTCTTTTAACTCCCATTATTGTTTTTAGGCAACATCCTCCTGTAGGGTGGTGTACATATCTCTGCATTACTTTGTTGGTGCCAATTATTTCTGGCTGCTGGTGGAAGGCATCTACCTCTACACCACCATCGTCACCGTGCTTCTGTCCGAGAGGAGAATGCTGCTCAGATATATCGCCATCGGCTGGTGTAAGTAGGCACTGCAGTGACATGTGTACATTGGATTTAGAGGAAAAGTATGACAATGAGGGTGTACAGGAAACTTGTATTTTGATTTTTTTCCCCATAAAAAGCAAAGCTTTAAAGTGGACCTGTCAGTAACTTTACAAGTCTGCATGAATAAACTCCTGACATGTCACATTATACAGTAACAGTATCAATGTTCAGAAATCTCCTCCACTTTTTATCATTAAAAACCACCCTCAAGCTGCACTTAGCGACTTGGCCTAGGCAGAGATGATGTCATCAGTCTGCTGCAGGCAGGAGTAAGCATTTCCTCAGTCTCCTCTAGCTATCGGCTTTCCACACTGTAAGTTTGTAGCAGGTCACAAGCTGAGAGGTTGCAGCAGGGGGCTGATCTGTGTCAGACATTTGTGAATACTGCCAAGAACTGCACAGGCATTGTCAGTTAGCCAGCATATTATTTCTGGAAGTAGATGGTGACCCTGGATGATGCCTGAACAAAGATGATGCCATCATTCTGGAGAGACAAGCAGATGAAGGCATTGTCAGGGGAAGTATTGTGATCTCTATGAGATGTAATAACTACATGTAAGTGTCATACAGACACATTACTTATCATAAGTGAGTAATACATACTTGAACTCTTACAATGACAGATTACAGTTGAAATTCTCCATCAGGCTTGCATTAACCTTGGATTGATTTAGGTTGGGCTATTGATTGCCAGATACAGATACGCTCTGTAGGACTGTAGCAGCACAGTGACTAAGTGGTTAGCACTTCTGCCTTGCAGCACTGGGGTCTTGGTTTAAATCCCAGCCAGTGCATTATCTGCATGGAGTTTTATGTTATCCCTGAGTTTGTGTGGGTTTCCCACACTCCAGTGACAAGATGGAAAGTTAATTGCCTCCTATCTAAACTGTTCCTAGTATGTGTATGTATGTAGAGAGGGACCTTAGATTGTAAGCTCCTGAGGGCAGGGGCTGATGTAAATGTAAAATGCTGTGTAAATCTTGGGTTCTATTTAACCACGCCTATTGTAATATTACAGCCAGACAGGAGCTCTATTATCCTGGGTGGGCGTCATATGACATCCTCTCACTGTCCACCAGATACAGCAGAATACAGATTGAAGGAACGGGCTGCTGCGCACGGCTCTGGTACCATGTGATCACTGTGACCAAGCGCAGCGATCACAGTTCTAGTAGTAAACAATGCTGTCATTGTCAACTCTGTGATTGGTCACAGCGATCACATGGTACCAGGGCCAATCATAGCGGCCCTATACATTGTGATAGCTGAGACTAATCACAGTAGTAAATTTGTAAGTCCATGAATGAAGACTTTAGGCAGGCTTACTGACTATCGCTGTAATAAAAATCCTGATCACTTCCCCAGAGCAGTACAGTGTCACTATGGTGACACTGTACTGCTCGGGTGACAGAATATATATATATATATATATATATATATATATATACCGCTAGCGCTGAGCAAACTTGGTGCTATATAAATCCTGTATAATAATAATAATTATATATATATATATATATATGTTTTTATATATATATATTTGGCCTGCCTCGCCGCTGGCTATCCCCGCTTCAGTCGATCCTGAATACGGCTGCCAGACTCATTCACCTTTCCAACCGCTCCATCTCCGCCACTCCCCTCTGCCAATCCCTCCACTGGTTTCCGATTGTGCAACGGATCAAATTCAAAATCCTAACACTGACGTACAAAGCTGTCCACCATACTGCCCCGAACTAGATCACTGACCTAATATCCAAGTACCGCCCAACACGCACACTCCGCTCCTCACAAGACCTCCTTCTCTCTAGTTCCCTGGTCTCCTCCTCCTCCCATGCCCGCCTCCAGGACTTCTCCAGGGTGTCACCCATCCTCTGGAACTCCCTGCCCCAACCCATCAGATTATCACCTACTCTCCTCTCCTTTAGGAGCACCCTGAAAACCCATCTCTTCAGGGAAGCCTACCCCACCCCCTGCTAACTTGCCGACCTCCTCCTCTCTTCCTACCACCCCATCCCCCACAGCTATCTCCTCCTGTGCCACCATCCCCTCCCTCTTAGATTGTAAGCTCGAAAGAGCAGGGCCCTCGATCCCCTCATGTTTTGCATTGTATTGATATTGTTCTGTCACATGTTCTGTCCCCCTTTGTAATGTACAGCGCTGAGCGAACTATTGGAGCTTTATAAATACTGTATAATAATAATAATAATAATATATATATATATAATTTTTTTTATGCAAAAAAAAAAGTTTAAAAAATTGTAATTTCTTTTTCTACATACTGTTACCAGTTAGTGTCTCTGATCCCTGCCACACGAGTCATTTTGTGACACTGTACTGCTCTGGTGGGAAAAGATTAAAAAATTTTAAAAAGGAAAAAAAAAAAACCTAAGAACATTATTTTATTTATTTATTTATTTTAATTTTCAGTATTTTTTCATTTTATATAGCAAAAAAATAATAAACCCAGTGGTGATTAAATAGCACCAAAAGGAAAAAGTTCTATCTGCATTTAAAAACTGATTTGGGTACAGTGTTGCATGACTGAGTAATTGTCATTCAAAGTGTGACAGCGCTGAAAGCTGAAAATTGGCCTGGGCGGGAAGGGGGTGAAAGTGTCCAGTACTGAAGTGGTTAAATATCTGAATGAATAAATAATGGATGACAGAGGAGGAGGAAGCTGGCAGAGCTTTAAAAATGTTCTCCTATTTGTATGGAGGACATATTGACCTTCGCTGTATGTGCAAGCACAGGAGATGGGGGAGTCCCTGTAATTAAAGACATTACTCAACATGGAGACTTTATTATATCCCTGGCATTTCCCGTCTTCTCTCTCGGTCACCATAACATGAATATGAGGCCGGGTTCTGCTCATTAGTTGGGTCACTTGTGGCTTCCACTAAATTTTTTGAGAACGAAAAAAAATGTTTTTGTTGTTCTTTATTCAGCCAAATATCACCACATATATCACGCTACAATTGTAACTTTTCAGGCAATCGCAATTTATGAAAGAATATCACTACATTGTAACAATATTTCCTTCAAATAGATTAGGTATTAGCCGAGATCTTAAAGTGGTATTAAATCCAAGAACAAAATTTGAATATATCACACATTACCGATTCTTAGGTCTCTATCACATCGGTGTTCGGTGCATCCCCGTGCAGGCTGTCCCATTAATTCCAATTGGGATGCAGCGGCTGCATGGTCACAGCCACTGCTCTGAATGTGACATCTGTGTGGGCGCATGACCCAGCATGCATAGTGTCTGCATTTGGGACCATGCACCTACACCCCCATGGACAGGGTTGCTGTTAGAAACCACGGGGCCCCATACAGCCAACCAAACAGCCCCCCCCCCAAAAAAAAAAAATGTGACATCTCAATGTGACATCTGTGTGGGTGCATGACCCAGCATTCATAGTGTCTGCATTTGGGGCCATGCACCTGTACCCCCATGGGCAAGGCTGCTGTTAGAAACCATGGGGACCCATACAGCCAACCTGAAACCCCCCCCCCCAAAAAAAAAAAGGAGGAGGGTGAGGGGTGTATGTACAGGTTATGCATAGGAGGAGGAGAAGGGGTGTATGTACAGGTCATGCATAGGAGGAGGAGGAGGAGAAGGGGTGTATGTACAGATCATACACAGAGGGAGGAGGAGGAGGAGAAGGGATGTATGTACAGGTCATACACAGAAGGAGGAGGAGGAGAAGGGATGTATGTACAGGTCATGCATAGGAGGAGGAGGAGGGGTGTATGTACAGGTCATACACAGAGTGAGGAGGAGGAGGAGGGGTGTATGTACAGGTCATACACAGAGTGAGGAGGAGGAGGAGGGGTGTATGTACAGGTCATACACAGAGTGAGGAGGAGGAGGAGGAGGGGTGTATGTACAGGTCATGCACAGAGGGAGGAGGAGGAGAAGGGATGTATGTACAGGTCATACACAGAGGGAGGAGGAGGAGGAGGAGGAGGGGTGCATGTACAGGTCATACACAGAGGGAGGAGGAGAAGGGATGTATGTACACTTCACAAGGAAGAGGAGGGCTTACCACTGTAAACACAATAATGTTTACTTTGCTCATTGCCAGGATCGGTCATCACAGCAATCACATGGTACAGAGCCGCTCAGATCGGCTCTGTGCGGAGTGTTTGTGAACTGAGCGTCCAAGGACAGCTCAATTCACTACCAATAACAGAAGCAGTGACAACCCAAAGATGATGTCTGCCGTGCTGTCTATACACAGTGCTGCAATAAATAAGTGTCCACCACCCTGATATTCACAAGGTGGTAGTACATTGGTTATATA